AAAAAAAAAAAAAAAAAAAAGGAAAGCAACTATTTCCAGTTCAAGAAGTGAACGATCGAGAGAAAAGGGCCACGAAAGTTAAACGAAACAGTCGAATTCTGAATTCTTTTACGATTCTCACATTGGTCCGAAAGTTTTGAGAATGTTTCCCCAGCGAGGGACTTTGAATTTTTAAAATTCTTTCTGCACTCGAGTTCTCTCTTTGGATTGAGTCTCCCAGACGTTTCGTATTTCGAAACAACTCTGCGTACGGTGAACGTATGGCGAATGCACATGGAAAAGCTAAGACTCGCTTTTCGCGGGATCTACATACCATTTGGTGGGAGTTGAGGCGAGAAGATGTGGGAATCAAGCAGTATGAAAGTCTCTGACCCACTGACATTCTCTTTAGTTAGTTGGCAGAAACAAACGTCGATAATCCGTGAGTCAGAGTCTCGATGTTCGTAATCAGGATCATCTGTGAAGTAATTTTTGGAGATAGCCACTTCGTCGAGAGAAATTGTAACTGGTCGAATCTCGTTTTGAGATGCGCTTCAGTCGCGGTTTGTTGACCAGTGTCGCTGTTTGCTTCACAGTACTCTTCGTACTTTTAAACTCGAGATCAACAGTAGAAACTGTTAACGATTCGGGGAAACCTAATGTTGCAGAGCAGGAAATTCGTCAAAAAATCCAGGTAAATTGTGTCTGATCAGTGCTACGACTATCGACGATTAAAGCTATGAAACAAAATTGCGAAATGAAATTTGTAATTAAAATTTTGATTTAATCTCATGATGAACAAAATAGAGATATACTTACGTGTGTTAGATATTCGTGTCAGAGAAGTAGGAAAAGATTTTTTTAATGAATCTTCGAAATTGCACCTTCGTAAATTTCTATGGAAAATCATGTACGATCTAGTTCTAGTGACAAACAGCTCAGAGAAAGAAAGCTTTTTCACTATTATATTTCAAATATTTTCCATAGTTAATGCAAATATCGATATAGTAATGTTTGAGAGTAACATACTGGTCGAGTTTAGATTACATTCGCGGTGAAAGTCCGCCACTGAACGATAAATTATTGGAAAGTGATCTTTCCTCTTTGCGATTCATAAACTGGTTCATTGAGCGTGATAAAGATTCAGAGAGAAGTATAATCTCTATACAGTTACGGAAAGTTTAAAATAGAATATCCAAAACGATAGTACTCTAATCTTTGTAATTTATAACATAATGACAGAAATCTCTATCTAATTTTCAGTTTTACTTCCTTGCTCATTTGTCGAAAGAAAATTTTCTGAAAATTTCATGAAAACGTTTTTTTACGTCTGAAAGAATTTGCATAAACAAATTTACCACAGTCTAATTTATCAACTAGAGCCAGTTTATCGCAGTTACAACTATTAACAGAATTTATTCCGCAGACGTATCGACGCGTTACACCTTCCCTTGCGGAACTGGCTGTTCGTGAGAGTTTGCACAAAATGAACGAGCACATTTTGATGTTGACTCGTGTACCTGACGCCGGGTCTGAGCTGTTAGTCTTGATTCTACAACGTTTGCAGGGTTACAATGCGTTTAAACATATACGATTACCACCTGGTGATCATGGGCTTCTGTCAACTTTACAGGAGGTACTTGTTTATCTGAATACAACGTAACTGTTCTGCCTGAGTTGAATCTTTCTTCCCTGCCGAGAGGAATCTTTCTTCTTTCGAGAGTAAATGCGATATAATCGTTCAACTGTGAAAAATGAGATTTAGAAGATTTTTAACTTTTTAATTTAGGATATTTGTAAAATATCAATATTTTACAGCCAACATAGGCTTCAATGGTGACAGACAGAAATATGTATATAAGAAGAAAGTTTATTTATTGAATATATTCAAATGATTTAAGTAGTAAAAAATATAAAGCATTCTACACACAGTTCTGCTGTACTTATTTGGTTTTGTTCTAATTATAACAAATTTTTCGATTCTGCCTGTTGATTTGTCTTTGGTAGAAAAATTCCCCATTTAATGATCTTTGAAATCGTTTTATTCTCGCGGGCACTTGAAGCATTCACGAGAGAAAGGGAACGTCCAGTTTTCTCGGAGAACGAAAATTTATTTCGTCCGTCACAGCTTCACGTTTTCTCACGCGTCAAAGTAAATGTAAAATTCAGTGAAATTTCAATTCAGTTTTCGCAGTTCTGTTCAGAAAAACACACACACACACACACACACAAGAACTCTTCTTTTTTTTTCTTTTCTTTCGCTTCTAAATTTGATAAATATCTTGACAGTAATGACACGAAGTTCTCTTCGTGTACTAATTTTTCAAGCTACTAATTCTTCTTGGGATCCACGGATCCCAATAATTTCACCGCGAGTTATATCGACACGTCGTTAATCGTTCCGTTAATCTCTCGAAAGGGTTAAATGCTCACCAATTAACACGAAATAGCCATAGTACTATTTCAAACGGCAACAGCCAGCCATGTTGATCGAACAATAACGCAAGAAATATGAATCAGCCGCTGATACATTGACGGCATAAATCTCTGGGAAAATTTAATCATAGCGGCAGCTCTATACACGTGTAGTTGCACTTTACGCTCGTGTCAGGCTGGGTTTTCAGTGTTGCAATCGAACTTGCGTGCCACTTTCATCTTTCCAATGAAAGCAGCCGAGTCGGAAATTCCTATTTGGAGCATGTCTGTTTAAAGCTGCTGGTTACGTGAAATATGATAAATATGAAATATGATAGAAACGTTGATAAATATTAAGGAATTCGATGTGTATACTACATGGTATATAATCAATCATCTTGACGTTTTCCATCTTGGCAGGAACGCGAGTGTTGGCCAATCAATGTTCTGTTTCGTTAGTTCGCACTTTTTAGAGGCTGCGTGTTTGGTTATAAATAATATCCTCATAACCACGTTTTGTAGGAACTTTTGGTTGAGGAGATCACTAATATCATAAGACAGGAGGCCATCCCTCTGAGCTTCGACGGGGATGTTAGATTTCTGAATTTCTCCAAGTTCGGACGGGAGCCTCCGACGTTTGTCTCTCTAGTGAGAAATCCCGTAGGCGCGCGTAATTTGCACAGGTAAAGGTCAAACTCCGGGGGATCTTTTTTATTTGCATCATGAGAAGCTCTGCGTGAATAATCGGCTTTGCACGAACTTTACGTTTCATTTGTACGCGTGTGTTTATCAATCATTTATTAATCTACATAAAGGATCTCAATTTTGGCACTGTATCCAACTGTTTACTGAAGGAAGGAACTTCCCTTTGCATTTTTATTTTTCTGGCGACGCTCAGTTTGTGATGATAATATTTCTCGATAATGATGTTAATGATTATTTCGATGTTTTCAGCGATTATTTGTTAAATTTTCCCACAATTAAAAAGGAGAGTTTCTCTTTCTTGAAAGCAGTGAAATACGTCATCAAAGTTTGGTCTATGCTATGTTCTATCATCTTATACTTTATTTCATTATAATCAGCTAAGATTAATCGAGAATAATTAAATATTTCAATGGAGGCAAATTACGAATGACGAACGTGGAATATTACACGTGGAACTGAAGTCGTGATGCAAATGAGTGAATAATATTGATTTTCTTTAAAACGATCGATCTGCTGCTTCTTAGATATCACGATGGACGGAGAAACGTGCTCGATGATAGAGCCATACCTACGTTTTGTGGCCAAGATCCTCGATGCACGTGAGTATATTCAACGGATCTTTTCACTTTTCATTTTCTAGCTCTCTGTATTCGGTATCAATTCTAGAGAGATAAATAACAAGTGGGCGTTAGAACGAGCTAAAGCGAACATAATTGAATACTATCCTGTCGTTGCTGTATTAGAGCACATGGAACGATCCATAGATGTACTGGAGTACAAATTCCCATATTTCTTTCGTGGTGCTAAAGACAGTTACAGGAAGATTCGTGAGTAAACATGATATAGGTACAATTATATCAGTACTTCAGTCTGAATTCACGTTGATTCCATTTAGAATCTGGAGGGAAACGCTTTTCCAGTCCAACGTTCAGGCTAAAGCCACGAGAAGGAGACATTTTATTTAAGCTTCTTAAGGATGAAATAGAATTTTACCAGTGGCTAAAACATCGACTTTTAAACGAGACATTGGTCGATGTTGATGGAAATCGTTAATATCTATGACTTTATATCATGCTAACGATAGTTTCGAAATATACCAAAGATAATTATCGTACTATTTATTCGAGTAATAATAATTCTTTGTCGAAATAAATTTTATTGAAAAGTTTTTGTTAGACAGAAGTATGGTCGTAGATTATTCTCTTTATCGTTATTGTGAGAATTAAGAGTACGACGAAATGCCTGGTTTCTTCCAGGATTTCAGTCCACGTGAGATCGGCAATAAATCTATTATTATTAGCTCTTTACTTCTACTAGTGAAAATTCTTAAAAAATATTGCATTTGTTGGTAGATTTTTCTTAAGTAAATCCCATGAAATTCTGTAATACGCTTTCGCAATTATATATTTCTACCTTTTCGGTAAGAATTCTTAAAAAAATACTGCATATGCTGAAAAAAAGATTTTCCTGTCACAATAATTCTTTGTTTTGAGTAAGAATTTTAATTTTCCCGCCTCTGCTTGTTTGATAAAAGTTCTTAAAGAACGATACAGGATACAGTAAGAGAAATGCTGCCCATTACCATAGTTTATAATTTATTAAATTTTTACACTTTTATTATAAATCCATTATAACAATATGGTATAATAATTCAAACACGTTCTCAGCGTCGTTGTTACATTTACGTCTTTGCGATAGCAATTTTTGACGTACAGCTACGTTGAAACATCCTCGTTGCATGATAGTGTATGATAGTCAAAACTTTTGTCAAAGATGTCATGCCAAGTTGAACATACACGTAATTTATATCGTTTCATTGTTATAATAATTCCGCAATTTTAATAATCGGCAATTATCTGTCGAATATATTAATATATAGTATCTTTCAAAGCTGCTATCAATTACATTTAGCATATAATCAAAAAATATAAGGATCTAAATATTCTTCTTACTTTAACTTGTGCAGGAAATAAAGAGAGAATATCTTTCCTCAGGTAAGTAGTCTAATTCGTTGATATGGAATTTGCACGACGCAAAGTCCAATGAAATACCTAACTGTATTATACAACATTTGTCTTTGCAACTGAGACGATTTGAACGTGCGACACATCGCACATCTGCCGCTATCGAGGAGAAAGGTATATCTCATCAGATATATTATATTTCAAACGAATATATTTAGAATAAATATGGAAATGTACAAAGCAAACATTAGAAAACGTACAGTGATCGTGGTTATTCCGAGTGACAGAAGCAGCAGCCGTGTGTGTTACATTGCCAAAGCTGTTATCGTTTATTTACACTTGCTAGCCTTCGAAAAATGCAAGTCCATGTATACGTGACGAGAGGTGGTTACCAACATTGATACGATAAAATCGACAAATTACTTCCAATCACACAAGCGCGTCAGGATACACTTCCCCTTCCCCTTCGTAAATAGAACATATAAAAATATTTATTCGAGCAGTCGAAAATCCCAAGTGTTGCTATAAAAAACGCCAACTATCGTTATCAACGATGGTA